ATGTATTTAATCAATGTGAGAATTTTCTGATGGTTTCTGGACAAACATTCACCCTCGAGTTTTTACTGGTCAGTTTCTGTGTTTACTGGTCAGTTTCTCTTTTTACTGGTCAGTTTCTGTGTTTACTGGTCAGTTTCTGTGTTTACTGGTCAGTTTCTCTCTGTTTACTGGTCAGTTTCTGTGTTTACTGGTCAGTTTCTGTGTTTACTGGTCAGTTTCTGTGTTTACTGGTCAGTTTCTGTGTTTACTGGTCAGTTTCTCTGTTTACTGGTCAGTTTCTCTGTTTACTGGTCAGTTTCTCTCTGTTTACTGGTCAGTTTCTCTGTTTACTGGTCAGTTTCTGTGTTTACTGGTCAGTTTCTGTGTTTACTGGTCAGTTTCTCTGTTTACTGGTCAGTTTCTCTCTGTTTACTGGTCAGTTTCTGTGTTTACTGGTCAGTTTCTGTGTTTACTGGTCAGTTTCTGTGTTTACTGGTCAGTTTCTCTCTGTTTACTGGTCAGTTTCTCTGTTTACTGGTCAGTTTCTGTGTTTACTGGTCAGTTTCTGTGTTTACTGGTCAGTTTCTCTCTGTTTACTGGTCAGTTTCTCTGTTTACTGGTCAGTTTCTGTGTTTACTGGTCAGTTTCTGTGTTTACTGGTCAGTTTCTCTCTGTTTACTGGTCAGTTTCTGTGTTTACTGGTCAGTTTCTCTGTTTACTGGTCAGTTTCTCTGTTTACTGGTCAGTTTCTCTCTGTTTACTGGTCAGTTTCTGTGTTTACTGGTCAGTTTCTGTGTTTACTGGTCAGTTTCTCTGTTTACTGGTCAGTTTCTCTCTGTTTACTGGTCAGTTTCTCTCTGTTTACTGGTCAGTTTCTGTGTTTACTGGTCAGTTTCTGCTGGTTTCAGATCCTCCCAGTAGGAAGCTGCAGTTCTGCAGCAGCGTGCTGCTCTCTGTTTTTACCCAATTATCAGAGTAGAGGAACAAATCTGTCAGAAATGAGACGTAGTTGCAGTATTGATCTGTTTACTCGGTCCCACAGCATCACCCCGCCGCCCCCATGCTGCTCCTCTCCACCTGCTTCGCGCCACAGCAGGGGAGGAATCAGAAAATCACAGCAGTGACCGGGGAATGCTGCGAAACGGAGCTGGAAACATCCCAGATCTGCTCCTGAACTGACAGGACGATGAGGTTTAACTTATTGACATTGTGTCATTAACAATAATTGCCTTTTTATGGACCATGTTTTTCTAACTCAACCAAAAAGGCAAAAAAAAAAAAATCCTCCGTTAAATTCAGAATTCTGTTTTATTTTCTCCTAAATTTGATTTTTTTTCCAGAATTCTGACTTTAATCTTTTGATATCAGAAATCTGAGGAAAAATTGTGAATTTAATGTGAGAGTTTTATTTTGTGTCTTTAATTTTCTTCATTATTAAAAACAGAAAAACTAACTTATGGGAAAATGAAAGTCGAATTAAAAACAGATTCATAAAAAGCTCAGAGCTGCAGAACCAGATTAGAAAATCCCTCCTGATGTTTGAGCCTCAATCTCCAAGATTACAGAAGAAACCAGAAGTTTACATACGCCAAATAAAAAGAAGCATGTGTCTGTCTGAAGCTCAATCAGAACATCAGTATGATCAATACTGTAGCTAATATGTAGAAAATGTTTTTGATGAAAGTCCTGTAGCTTTACATGGAGATCCATGTGAGACTAAATTAAAGTTTCATGTTTCTCTTCTTGTCATTTTGATGATTCTGACCTGAAACTAGAAAAGTTTGATTTGATTTCTGACAGTGAATAAAAATGACGTCTTTTTATTTGATGTATGTAAACTTCTGGCTCCGCCTGTATGTTTTATTTTATTTTATTTATTTTTGTTGGGCTTTTTATGAAGAATCTGTTTCATTCTCTATAACATTTAATGCTGTTATTTTGCAAACTGCCAAATAAACAGAGTTTTATGTATGTAGCTGGTGTTTAAACCTGTTGCTCATCCAGATCTGCATCAGTCGGTTTTTCATTTCAGAAGATAAACCAGATTTTCAGATGTGATTTTACAGAATGAGGCGAAGCTTCACCTGCTGCAGCCTGCTGCAGCAGCCTGCATGCCTCCACCTCCGGCTTCCCCCAACAAAAGGCTGTAAATATGCAAAGCAGATTAATTAGTTTCCCAAGGTCACCTGTGCAGAGAGCAGCGCTGCGTGTCGATAAATCAGCGGCATCTGAGCCAGATGAGTTGCTGCGGAGCTTCATTGATATTTTCCCAGGAGTTAACGAAGCTTTGTGTGAAGCTTCATTTGGCCAAAATGTATTTGCCTTTAATCCGCGGCCCTGAAAACCCACCAGCGTCTGAACTGTTAGAGTGTCTTAGTTCTGGTGGCTTTAACTGCAGCGGCCGGCTCCTCTGGATCCGGACCAGAACCGTCCAGCCGAACGGCAGAGTCAGCATTCTGCAGCTTATCGGGCCTGATGCCTGCCAGCTTCCTGTGTTTCTGTCATCAAACAGGATGACAGAACCACCTGGATGGATCTGACGTCACCGAGACATGAAACTGAAACTGCAGCTGCCTGAGAAGTGATGGATGTTCCCCTGGCGATTCCTCCCGGTAACAACTTAGTGGAAATAAGACAACTGCGAGACTCGTCACTTAGACGCTTTTATGGGAAAATGAAAGTCGAATTTAATCCGTCCAACAGACACAATCCCTGATGTGGGCAGTTTGGAGGTGTGTGCGCTACTGCAGGTCACTGATCCGTTTTGGTCTGGACTGAGCAGCGCGGCTTCCTTCTCCAGAACTTTCTCTCCTCTGGGTTCCTTTGTTTTTATGATTCTGGTTGATCATTGATTCTCTGATGAACCTCTGAGGCCAGAACCAGAACCAGAACCAGGCTCCGTTGGCTGAGATCCAATCATAAAACTATTATTTACTATCATGACTGCTAAAAGAAACCGTTTATTTAGAGGCATGAAAGTAAAAGGGGCTGAATACAAATCCACAGCCCATCTTCAGATTTGCATGTGTAGAGTCGAGTCGGTTCGGGTCGGGTCGGTTCGGGTCGGGCCGGGTCGGGTCGGGTCGGGTCGGGTCGGGTCGGGTCGGGTCGGGTTGGGTCGGGTCGGGTCGGGTCGGGTCGGTTCGGGTCGGGTCGGTTCGGGTCGGGTCGGGTTGGGTCGGGTCGGGTCGGGTCGGGTCGGGTCGGGTCGGTTCGGGTCGGGTCGGGTCGGGTCGGGTCGGGTTGGGTCGGGTCGGTTCGGGTTGGGTCGGTTCGGGTCGGGTCGGGTTGGGTCGGGTCGGGTCGGGTCGGGTCGGGCCGGGTCGGGTCGGGTCGGGTTGGGTCGGTTCGGGTCGGGTCGGGTCGGGTTGGGTCGGGTCGAGTCGGTTCGAGTCGGGTTGGGTCGGTTCGGGTCGGTTCGGGTCGGGTCGGGTCGTGTCGGGTCGGTCGGGTCGGGTCTGGTCTGGTCGGTTCGGGTCGTGTCGGGTCGGGTCGGGTCTGGTCTGGTCGGTTCGGGTCGGGTCGGGTCGGGTCGGTTCGGGTCGGGTCGGGTCGGGTCGGGTCGGGTCGGGTATCAGCCTGCAGCTCCTTTTCCTTCAGGTCTTCCCTCAGATGGACATGAAGACATTTCAGGGACTGATTGGACTCATGGCGCCGGCGCTGCAGAGGAGGATCGTTTCCCTGACTGGGTGAGTTCTGATGTTGATGGACTGAGTGGTTTTACTGCTGCTGGCTTTTGGGTTTTATTTCCCATAAATCTGATTTTCTTTTTTCTGCTGTTTCTGCTCACATCAAACTGTAAGTATGAGATGAGAGAGAAAGTTTGATTCTGAGCTCTGCAGGAGGTTCAGACATGAGACATGAGACATCTGCAGGTTCTCATCTTTCTTCTTTTCATGTTTACTTCTAAAACATTTAATAGTAGAAATAGTGTCAATATGTAAAAGTTTTTAATATGCATTTATTGATATTGTCACTTTAATTGTGGGCATTTTTATCATAAATCCATTTTCTACATATAAAATCTATAATAATTTTGCTTTTGGACATTTCCATTGATCTTTGTCTGATTTTAACATTCAGGTGATGAAAAGCAAAAACAGAAGAAAAAAACTTTTGACAGCCATGAAAGAGGAAACCAAAAGTGTGCAAAGAGGAAAGTGTTTCAGAAATATTGTTCTCATCTTTAAATAAATATAATTTTGGATGATTCAATATTTTGTCTTTCAGCCAAAACATTTAGTTTGCATATTAATAAATGACCAGCAATCCATTCAGATCCTACAGGAAAATGAATTAAACTGTGGAAAAATATTCAATAACTTGAGAAATTATTTAATTCATAATGAAATAATCCACTACAGATTAACAGATTACCTCTGAGTGAAGAAAAACAGGCCAGTGCTTCCCTCTGCTGGTGAATACGTAGTATCACAATTTCAGACTTTTATTTTATTTTATTTTTTTGATTTATTTTATTTTATTGTCTCTGGTATTCTGATGAAGCTTCATATTTTTGCGCTAAAAGTTTCAGTTCAGATTTTATTCATGCAGCAACAGGAAGAAGAAAATAATTTTTCTTTCCGTGGTTTAACTTCACCACACAGACCTGATCGATTCCACTGCAGATGCCAGAATCAATGCTGCTTTGGATCAATATTGATTTGGATCAATGTTGTGCCAACATGTTGGAAAGTCTGAATGAGGCGGATGGAGGCATTTCCTGAGTCCAGCTCTGGTCTCTGCAGAGAAACAGGAACAACCTGCAGCGGCTGTGGAGTTTAGTTTCCTCAGGGTTTAGTTTCCTCAGGGTTTAGTTTCCTCAGACTTTAGTTTCCTCAGGGTTTAGTTTCCTCAGACTTTAGTTTCCTCAGGGTTTAGTTTCCTCAGACTTTAGTTTCCTCAGGGTTTAGTTTCCACAGGTTTAGTTTCCTCAGACTTTAGTTTCCTCAGGGTTTAGTTTCCTCAGACTTTAGTTTCCTCAGGGTTTAGTTTCCACAGGTTTAGTTTCCACAGGTTTAGTTTCCTCAGACTTTAGTTTCCTCAGGGTTTAGTTTCCTCAGGGTTTAGTTTCCTCAGACTTTAGTTTCCTCAGGGTTTAGTTTCCACAGGGTTTAGTTTCCACAGGGTTTAGTTTCCTCAGACTTTAGTTTCCTCAGGGTTTAGTTTCCTCAGACTTTAGTTTCCTCAGGGTTTAGTTTCCACAGGTTTAGTTTCCACAGGTTTAGTTTCCACAGGTTTAGTTTCCACAGGGTTTAGTTTCCACAGGTTTAGTTTCCACAGGTTTAGTTTCCACAGGTTTAGTTTCCACAGGGTTTAGTTTCCACAGGTTTAGTTTCCACAGGGTTTAGTTTCCACAGGGTTTAGTTTCCACAGGTTTAGTTTCCACAGGTTTAGTTTCCACAGGGTTTAGTTTCCACAGGTCAGGGGTCAGGGTGGATGGGTTTCCTGTCCACCTGCTGCAGCATCAGGACGCAGCCATGCTGAGTGAGGCTGCGGCGGTCGGGTTTCCTCGGAGGAGGTGGAGAAAGCAGAGGAGGTGGGCAGAGGGTTGCTGAGTGGGAATCTGTGGCGATGCCTCTTACTGGTTTCTCTGGTCAGGCAGTGGGAGGAAGGTTTTCTCAGCTGATTTCTTCCTGTTTTTGCATCTTCATGTGACTCTGACCTGTAAAAGCAGAAGATTTGAACCAGATCTGAACGGTAAGTCTGTTTCCTCCGATCTGACTCTAATTTGGATTAAAAATGTGAAGAACGTTTATCACGATAAAGTTTGTTTTTCCATACGAGCGAACGCTTTGTTGTTCCAGTCACATGTATTTGTGATGGAGGGTGTGGCCTAACATGATCAATACTTCTATCAAAATAATTGATCGGGAGCTTCATCACCTCCTGTACAATAAGCCTGACAGTAAAAGAAGAGAACAATTTAGCAGATCAATTATTTACAGAGATGCAATAAAATAAAAGGACTGAAACGAGACAAACGACGTCCGAATGATCGGAGTTTGATTCTGTGCAGCCAGAAACAACATGAAGCTGTTTGGGACCAAAATCGACTGGAAGCTTCAGGCTGTTGGAAACAAACGGATGTTTCCACCATGATGTCATTTATTGATCAGTGGAATCACATTTCAAACCGTCTTCTCCTGTTTTGCCTGGAACGAGGGACTTGCTGGTCTGACTGGGCGCAGTCGGATCCACAGTCAGCCCAGAAACAGATCAGATGAAAACTGCCTCAAAACTTTTTCATTATGCGTTTAAATGTTTTCCAGAAATGAAGGAAAACTTGCAGCTGCATCCTTGTTAAAGTCGAGTCTTTCGTGGAAAATTCATTTTCCCACAAGAAATATGACATAATGTACAATTCAGATGAAAAACAAACAAATATGTTAGAAAAATCTGTTTCATAAAATGTTTAAACTTTTAAATGAAAACCAGTTCAATCAACTTCAGTGTTCCTCAATCATCAGTTTCAGTTAAACCTGAAATAAATCTGATTTTCTTTGTAGAAATGATTACAAAGGGTCAAAGTATCTCATTGTGCAAAGGTACCAGTCAGGATAAGGATGCAGTGAAGTCATTCACTTGTATTTGGAGAAATTTGGGATTTCCAGGTTGTTATTACACAACCTGGACGATTCTAAAATGTCTTTTGATAATGACATTTGATAAATGTTTTTATCGAATGTCTTTATCGAATGACATTTATTCAATAAAAATAATGTCATTTCCAAACCACAGGAGTCGCAGGAATTCAGTCCAAGTATTATTTAGTCTTTTATTTCTCAGAAAACATTCAGATCTCATCAAATTTCAACAAGAAAGTGTTGAAACCAAACACCAAAATGTGGGACACAGTTTCAAGACAACACAGATGCATGGTAGTGGCAGTGTCATTCTGGGATCATTGAGCTGGATCTGGGTTTTGATAAGGAGCATGAAGTTCTGAATAGTTCTGGTTCCCATTCAGCTGTGACCCAAAACCTTCAGGGGTCTAAAGATGAAAGGTTTTATCTTTTGCTCTATTTGCACTTTTACTTTTGAAACCAAAGAATAAAAATACAGCTGATGAAAAAGTGAAAGAGATTTACATATAAAGGCTGTTTAGATCAATAATGTTTATGAGTTATTAATAACCCTGCAATGAAAATGTTCATCAATGCATAAAACATATTATAAAATGTATTCAGAAATGATTTGAAATTCAAGAAACAACAATGAAATGAAAACGTAATTATGTAAGAGAATTTAAATCCTGTTTGGTTAAATGTGTGAATGAACTGAGATCAGAGACGTGACAGAAAGTTGGATGTTTTGAAGATTTTATGTCTGTTGATGTTTCATTTTCATTCAGATCAAATGTTCCTCTTTCTGCTCATGTAAAACAGAGCAGATGTCAAAAACTCACAATATGTTCAGACATATTGGCTCCACAAAGCTGATAGAGATCAGCAACAAATAATGAAAATAAATGAGTGAATAAAGTATGAATGTCAGCAGAATCTGTGATACTGAATGATCTGCCTGCAGGATGAGCCTGTTTCTCCTCACAGTTCATGTTTCTCCTCCAGAAGCCGCTGCAGGTCATGCCGGGCAGCCCAGAGAACATCCCGCTGGGGGAGTGCGCCCTGTCCCAGTCCCAGGACGGGCTGACGCCCCCCAGCCAGGCGGCCAGCCGGACGGCCAGCACCGTCTTCTCTCTGTCCCGCAGCGAGTCGCTCTGGACCACGGAGCCGCCGCCCAAGAAATGCGACGTGTTCTGGTTCCCGATCCACTTCATGTCCACCGGCGGCAGCTTCCTGGCCTGCGGCGTCATCATCAGCGGCCTGTGCTTCGCCGGGCGGTGCTACAAGGCCACCGCCCTGCTGGGGCCGGCCCTGCTGTCCATAGGGCTGATGGTGCTGGTGGTGGGGGTGGTGCTCATCCCCATCACCAAGAAGAACCGGAAGCGCTCCCACATGCGGAGGCCCCTCAGCTACTGCAAGCCTCCGGCCATCAACGTGTGATGTCATCGGGGGTTTCCCAGGAACACTGCGGCGTCTTCAGCCTGGAGACGTTTGGGTCCGCGGACCGGCCGGGGAACAGAACCGGCCGGGGAACAGAACCGGCTAGAGTTACACTGTAAAACATCAACGGAAATATTCAATATTCCGTCATATAGAATCCCAAAGTCAATTATTTAGTCACTAAATATGAACAGACTGGATCTTTAGTTTCAAACTAAATGCTTACTTTAATAGATACATTTTTAATATTTATTTTGCAAACTAAACATTCAGTTACAAACTAAAGTGTTGAGTCTGAGCTAAATATTTAGCTTGCAAACTATTTATCTAAATATTATGTTGCCAAAATAAATCTTTAGTTCCAGACTAAATATTGAATTTGAAAGCTAAACATGTAGCTTGCAAACTAAATATTTAGCTTATTGATGAAATATTTAGTTTAGTGTATAAATGTGTGAAAAATGAATATCCACAAAATATTGCTGTTAATGTTTTACAGTGTAACTTTATGAGCTCTGCTGAGGCTGTTATTCACACATTTACAAGGTCTTAGCACAGATGAGAGCAAAGAGACACTTTAAATATTCATGCAGAGAGAAGTGAAGTTTCAGCCTCATGAATAACTAAAAGAGTTTATAATTATCACTTTGCGTTTTATTGTCTCATTGCTTCCAGTAAGCAGCTCGCTGTGCAGCAGAGGAGCAGAAATGTTTCCGCCTTCATGGATGCAAATGATGAGAGTCTGACCAGAAAAAAGATTTAAAATAGAAAAACATTCAGAAACACCTGCATGCTGCAGGCTGCAGGACTCAGAGTCACAGCAACAGGCTGGAAAATAATGTTTATGAATTAATGAATAATAAGAGATTCTATTGTAACAATCAGCTGATCGAACTTTATCTGCACTGGAAAAAGTGTGGCCTTGCTTAAAGTAAAAAATTTGATGTCCATTTGTTGCATCTAAAATATTTGACTTCACAGAATGTAAATAAAGTTGTTTGGTACAACATGGCTATTTAATTTGACTCAAACCATATTATTGTACTTGAGCCAATATTAATTCTTCACCTTTATCCAAGTTAAATTATTTACATTTCAGTTTTGGAACCAAAGTAAAATATTTACATTGAACCAATCAAATATATATACATTGCACCAAAGTAATATTCAGGCATTAGCACCAGTTAATTCATTCTCACCATGAAAGTTTTTTTTATATTTCATTAATTTGGTTTAAAAAACTATTTGCTAACCCTGATGGCTGGGCGACCGGTTGATTTCTGGCTAAACGTAGCCAGAAATCAAAACAAGAAAAGTCTTTCAGAAAGTTGGTTTCTGTCCGACAGCGACGATCATGGCTTAAGAGGAGCCCCAAAGAGTGTGTGTGTGTGTGTGTGTGTACAGCATCTACATATATACACACACAGTGTGTTTATATTGCATTTTTAAAAATTAATACACAATTAATACACTCCAGCAACATTTTTTCAAAGTCATTTATTCCTCACGAGTAAAAAAGGAGAAAAAAAAGTGGCATGTTCAGACAAACAAATATAAACATGTCATTGTTGCTCAGAGCAATGAAATAAAGACAATATGGCTTACCAAGCTAAATTAAATGGTTGGAAAGCATCCACTGTTGTACTGTTCAAACACATGAAGGAATGTTGCATCTCTAAACATCATCAAAGAAGTAAAATTCCAACAAAAGCAGTCCATGAAAGTGACACCGTGAGCCTGTATAACAAAGTGCTGCTGAGGTGGTCTACCTCTTAAATAGAAGCCAGTGGTAACTACATGCACACAATAAGCACACACAAATATACACCACTGTGCAGTTTTGAGTTCACCACTGAGTTTGCGAATCTTGGAAGTCATCTTGTTGGAACCAAGCTCCATCAGGATCTTGTGAAGGGCCTCAAAGGTGAACCTGAAACCCTGTGGATACTCCATGATAAGGGCATAGCAAAGTCCAAAGAGCATTACAACTCCGGCTGCAACAGAAGGCAACTCATTGAGGACTTCCACACCATCAATGACAATCCCAACGTCTTGGGGCTGCTGTAGAAGGCTTGAATTCTCTCTGAAGACGAAGTCTGCCATGATGGTCCTCTCCAGCTCCTGCTTGGCTTGATCTTTCTGGGAGACCTGAGGCAAAATATACGACATTATGCAACTGAACAACTGCAGTCTGGCACACCTCATTAATCACTATATAGTGTATAATGGCATAGGTGGTCTCCTGTGATGAATAAAGTTGAATCATCATTGTGACAGAAAATATCTGGACGTACTATGTATTCCTTTATAAGGTCCTCAACACGTTCTCCCAGGTAGATGATGAGAGCTTTGAGGATACACTCCCTTCTGAAATCTGCATCAGCACCCTTTAGGGACAATCAAAATGGTTATTATGCAATGTGTAGACTAATCTAGCAACTTAATTCTCAGCTCTACCATAAACAGTGCTTTTACAGTGCGCGCCTGGTCAATATTGAATCCATGGCAGACTAATACAAAGCTGTGGAAATGTAAAGCCATTCTAGTACATCTGCCAGAGGCCACTGGTAGTCCCTCTTTAAATATGAAGACAGACTGGATGGCTCCTGTTTTGGTTCCTACAGTCTCAAAGTATCTTTGGTGCAGTGACAGGTGCACAAATTATTACTACACATTAACGTACTCATAGATGGCACATGTTTTTCTTTTTTTAAATGGTTGGTATAAACACACTAGACGAACTAATTGCTAACATGGCTTAATATGCTGAGCTAGTCAAGTTCACGGTGTAGCCGAGCTAACCGTGGTTAGCTCGGCTACACCAATCAATCGAAACATAATTCGATTGATTGGTAACGAATGATGCCTACCTTGATTAATTCCAGCTACAACCGAACAATGTACACATAGTGATATTTCTCGTGAAATACGTGTAAGTTCAGAAATGACACCACATTTAACCCAGCGAAAAAAGAAAGCATTTACTGGGATACCCATATTTAGGCGGGACCTTCAGCTTGCTAACCAGGTGACATTAACTCAGTCTTTTGCATTAATACAACTGTAGGCTTGTTAAGACATCAGCTTAGGTTAGTACTTACCGCAGGTTTATTCTTCGATTAAATGCTAGGACGTTGATCATTCTTTCTTCCCCATGCCGAAACGGACGATGCTCTCCAAGCACTTCTCCACAACTTCTTCTCACGTGACTCAGATTCAATTATTACATCATTTCCTGTCAGTATTTTGAGAGGAATCAAAATATTTGCTTTCTTTCCTTTAGAAGTGTGATTAATTCAGTCTGAATCAAAATTGACACCTCAGAATGCAAAAAAATTGACTTTCACCATCAAGTCAATTATTTTACAATGTATTCAATGGTAGTTATTAGCTTGAATGAACAGCTCCGTGCATCACTTTTTCCAGTGTGGGAAGAGAAATCAATAAGTTTTACAGTTTGCCTTTAGTTTCATCAGATGTCAGGATTTGACAGAGTTGAACCCCCAACCTCACCATTTCCTCCAGTTGTCCATCATGTCCTCTGATAACCACATATTATTATTTATGTAATAAATGTGCGTCACTCAGCCGCCAAGAAGCTCAACTTAAATTTCCTAAGAAATGAAATGCAAATCTATGTTGAACTTTCCCTGAGCCTGCAGGGCGGCGCGGGGTGGCGCGAGGCGGTGCGGGGTGGCGCGGGGCGGCGCGGTGCGGGCGGTGCGGGGTGGTGCGGGGTGGTGCGGGGTGGCGCGGGTGGGCGGGGTGGCGCGGGGCGGCGCGGTGCGGCGCGGTGCGGGGTGGTGCGGGGTGGCGCGGTGTGGTGCGGTGCGGTTTCTAGCAAAACTTTGAAAATTCAAGCTTAGAAATGTCCTTGTTTTTTGTTGTTGTTGTTTTAGGAAATTCCTGAGTTTAATTTAAAAAAATTCTAAAGAAATCCAAGTTTTTCCTAGGAAACTAATGTAAAAGTTTCTGAGCAGCAGCAGCAGCTTTAGTAAAAAGGTCAAAGGTCTTTCCCTCCTGCTCTGTATTTGACAAGCAAATAACATGTTAATATGTTGGCCTGCATGTGACTGAGCTGCAGATGCCCGCAGTGTTTCCTCCTCAACCCTCAGCAAACTGTTTGCCTTGAGGTGGGGCGTTTCCCTGCTGGTACGCGGTCCCGACTTGTCCGCCGCACACAGGATGAAGGATCCCGGCCAGAGCAAAGCCTCCCGCATGGCTCTCCTCCGGCACATCGGGACCTGCCTGCCCTTCTTCCTGCTCGCCGTCACCTTTGACCTCCTGGGCCTGGTTCTGCTGTTCGTCGGGATCTTCGGCGACCTGCGCGTCCGCGGCCTGTTCTACGGAGACTTCCTGATCTACTCGGGCTCCATCATCATCTTCGCCAGCCTGGCCTGCTGGCTCATGTGGTACGTGGGCAACATCCGGGTGTCGGAGCCCGACGGGCGGAAGAGGAACAGCCTCGCGCTGCTGGCCACGAAGATCTCGGAGAGGCTGAGCCAGAAGATGAAGGGCGATGACTGCGTGGACTGCGTGGACCGCGAGGACTGCGTGGACTGCGTGAAGTGCGTGGCAGAGGACGAGGACGAGGCGGGGGGGGGGGGGGGGGCAAGGTGACGTGGGGCAAATCCACGGCGTACCTGAACGAGGGTTATGACGGCTCCACGGACGGGGAGCAGTGCGTGGGCTGATCGGCTCGGTTCGGTTCCTGCAGGATCCAAAGATTGGATTCTGCAAAAACTGTCCGGTTCAGAAGTTCAACTTCCAGGACTGAAGGTCCAGCTTTCACTATGTCTCATATTTCAAAGTTAATCTGCAATTATTATTTCAAGAATGTTGATGCTTTAACTAGACCCTTTGTACTAATATTATTTATTAGAAAATAATCAATATGTCGAACATTTTATCATTAATATTATAGCAGATGAATTAATATTATATGAATTAATGTAGCTGTGAAATCTGAAGCTGGCAGGTAAAGATTAGGGTGATGGCACAGAGTCTGTCCTCAGAAAACCATTGAAGAAATGAAACGAAAAAATGTTTTGATTCCTGCAAACTGATTATTGAGAAGAAAGTGTCTCATTTTTATTTAAATGTATTTAAGAGCAGATTATATTTTTCTCAATCAATATCCATTTTATTTTGTTTTATTGTATTATGGATCAGACATTTCTTGGTTGATAAACATTAAATGTAAATCTGTCAATAATTATGGATTATTCTTTTCGCTGTGATATTTCGGTTTATTTTAGTAAAATTATTGATCTGTTCATATCTTTGACTGATTTCAGTTGTATAAAGATGAACTCTGGTCTCTGGAGGAGGAAAAGTTTCACCTGTTCTTGTCTCATGTGTTTGTGCTCATTCCCAGTCACACTTCCAGTTGCTCTCTGGTCTGACTGGTTTGACTTCTTGGCGACTTTTTGTTTGTTGTGGTTAAAATCTTTCTGACTCTGCAACTAAAGCTGACAAACGATCCCACCTGAAGGAAACGGCACAAATTCCAGCTTCCTGTAACCAGAGCCGAGACGCCCTTTGACCTCTGTCTCTGACGCATCACTTCCTGTCAGGCGAGTCGCAGGCGGCGAATTTCCAGGATGTCACAAAATCTCAAATCTGTAAAAATCATTTTGTCC